AAAAAAGTTAATCTTTAAAAAAAAAAAAAAAGCATATACATCAAATCAAATATGATTTTATAACAAACATTGGACCAAATCAGCCATATCTGTATGTGTGTGAAAATATTCAGATGTAACCCCCTTTGTAATTGTTAACATTTTCATATGTAACTAATTACACTATTTTTTCTCAGTAACTGTAACTTATTACAGTTACATTTATTTTGTAGTTAAATTACGTAATTCCGTTACATGTAACTACTTACTCCCCCACACTGAATGTTTTGGTGTTATCAAACCTGAATTTATAAAGAGAAATTATTAACAAAACTAGAAACTTTATTTACGATGACAATTTACTGTTTTTTAAATATGACAGGTATTTCTGCCAACAACATTCATCACATGTCCTAAGACTTCAGCATTTTTGTCTGCATTTTTAAGAATACAGTGTCGCATTTATTTCGTGGCCAAAGTGCTGAGCAAATTTGTTTTTGTTTTTTTTTTTGGGATCAAAACCACAAAGCTAATTTTTCACATCAAAAACATACAGTGCAATTTTTCTGAGAACTGTGTGTGTTCATCCAAATATTACATTTGAGTCACATAACCCATCATTAAAATGTAATGAATATGTTGTGGAAGTAAAAGAGTTTAGAAGCCTTATATAGTATATTCGACAGTATAACAATAATATAGGCCTAGTTCATGATTCTAGAACATATATATATATATATATATATATATATGAATGATTAGGGCTGTCAGTTTAACGCGTTAATTAATTAGTTATGAAAAATAACTAGATTAAAATATTTTAACGCAGTTAATGCACTGGCCCCGCACCCAGACCTGTACATCATCTTGTATTTCATACAGTTGACTGTTGATAAAGCAGTGCAAATGTGATTTTATACAACAGTTCAGTAAATAATAAGTTAATATTTTGTTATATTTTAAACACAATAGTGTGTATTTTTGTTCAATTTTGCCAACGAAAATATTACCTATAAAGCCACAGCAGAACTGTTGTGCATCTGTGAGCAACACAGCGGTGTTTAGTTTCTGAATGAATCCGCGTTTTGAACGAATTGTGTGAACCAATGATTCAAAGACCTATTCATAAAGTGAGCCGTTTACTGAATTCCTGAATGAATCAGCCGTTTGAACGAACCGACTCATACAGACATTTTAGTTTCTTCTTTAGAGTAACATTTTTATGGAGCCCCGCACATGGCATGCAGGAAAAAAATAGTAGGCTAAATCATGTGCACGCTTTGCTAATTCGTTCCCTCGATTTGCTATATTGTGCACACGATTTATAAATCGAGAGAACAAATTAGTAAATTGTGCGCATGATTTAGCAAATCGAGGGAACGAAATAGTAATCGTGTGCACGTTTTAGTACATCAAGGGAACGAATTAGTAAATTGTGCGAACGATTTATTTATTTTTTCTTGCATGTCACGTGCGGGGCTCCGTACATTTTCTTTAATTAAAACAATAAATAAATAAATAAATATATGTGTGTGTGTGTGACCCTGGACCACAAAACCAGTCATAAGGGTTAAAGCTGAATAAATAAGCTTTCCATTGATATATGGTTTGTTAGGATAGGATAATATTTGGCCGAGATACAACTATTTGAAAATCTGGAATCTGAGGGTGCAAAAAATCAAAATACTGAAAAAATCGCCTTTAAAGTTGTCCAAATTAAGTTCTTTGCAATGCATATTACTAATCAAAATTGTGGTCCAGGGTCACACACACACACACAATGTAATATATATGTAATATATATTGTAATACAATGTAATACAATGTAATATATATGTAATATATATATATATATATATATATATATATTACATTTTAACATTGAGATTTTAACACTTTTTAACACTGAGATAGCGGTCAAATTGTGCACCCAATTTATATATATAAAAATGCATATACATCTATATACAGCATTTTGTCAGCAATTACTTGACATTTCACAACTTTGTATAGGTTTGTAATCTTCCTTGTGCTTTGAAATCTGTGAAATCTGTCCCTTTCTGGATGTCTGTTTTATTTATTTATTTGTTTGGTTGTTTGTTTGTTCGTTTTCTGAAAATCAACCAAGTATTCTGTGAAAAAATAAATAAAAAAAAGGTTTGTCATACAGCCAGTTTTCATATGCTGAAAGCGTCCAGCATATGGAGGAACTGTTTTGTTTAAACATCTAAATCAGCGGTGAAAAGTTTCAAGATGCTTTTGCAGGACATTTTAAAACGTGAATGGCTGGACACACAAGACCACAACGCCTTTGAGACTCCACTATCATATGCTTCTACAACACATTCTCATTCCCAACTCGTCACATATTGATGCTTGATCAGGACCCCTTGGCGTCACATTTTGATGCTCAAGGTACTCCTTTAAAGTCATTTTTTTACACAAAGGGTACTCCTTTAGCGTCACTTTTCAACGTGCAGGGTCCTCTACTGTTTTCAGCTGTTTGCCTTTATTTATTGGTTTGCATGCATTTGTAAAAAATAGAAATCATTTTATATAAATTTAAACTTTAATTGGAGCACCTAACCCCACTCCTACCCTAAACCTACCCACTTTTGAACAATATAAAATATGTAACAGGCAAATAAAATACAGTCACTGGCATTTATTGCAAAAACTGATCATAAAAAGCAGTATAAAAGTATTACATACAAAATGTGTTGCATTCCAAGTCTTCTGAGGCCATGTGATATCTTTACGCGAAGAAGAGAGTAAAACACAAGGTTTTAATCGCTGAAAATGACCCCGCTCCGTTCATGCGCTCACATCTCATTCAAAGAGATACTCCCATACTTTAGCATGACGCAGTTGGTCACGAGACACTCAAGAGACAATGGCACAATTCTTCTGGCAGCAATTTTTGAATTTGCGCACAGACTGCATACAGGATCTGGGCTTTACGGCTGATGGAGATGGTGATTGCATCTATTCCTCTCACAAATCAATCGTTTTGACTCGGAAGACTTGGAATATTAGCATGTTTTGAATAAATTATGACTGTAGTAGCATCTGCCTGTTATATACTGTGTTATATTGACAAATGGTTGGTTTAGGGGCAGGGGTTGGGTTACATGCTCATAAATGTGTAGATAGTGTAATGTAAATAAAACTGTTGTGACTGTTTACATTGAAAAAATCACACCCCAACGTATATGCAATAATATTATTACCCAATATATAATTTAATCATGACAATAAAATTCCCAATGCCTTTCGCGCCGGCATGCTGACGCCAAAGTTTTCTTATTTAAAACTATGGAGGACCCTGCACACTAAAGGGTTCTGACCAAGCGTCAATATGTGACGAGTTGGGAGTGAGAATGTGTTAGCTTCTAACGAATGCATGAGAATGTGAACCAGGTCCATGCATGCACAATTGTCTATTTTCACATCTCACGAAATACAGAATTTTAGCCAGCTATATAATCTCAGACTATTGAACTGCAAATAAAGAGAGAGAATGGCTTGTAATGCCTTTTGGATTTGCCACAATTTACACAAGCAACAGAAAATCCTTAATCTGCGCTTTGAGACGGTTTCAAAGGCAGATCGTTGCACGAAATATCTGACAAAACCAAACTAAAACCGATGTGAGGTCATTCTCATGCACATGTTGAGTGGTGTAAAGGGAAAGAAAATGTGAGCGAGAGGAGAGAGAGAGAGAGAGAATGCTGTTTGGAGGCTTTGAGGGTAAACGTCAACAAAGCCATGATGAGGTGCAGATGAGGCAGGGCATCTTTAGCACACTACAGCTCCACAGCCAATCATAATGGTGAGAGTCCTTGATTTCTTGGAACAATAAAGGAGAGACCTGGAGAATGCAGAATTTATGCCTCTCAATTTACCTGTGTTCGGTGGGAATTGTGAGTTTCACTTCAGCATCCTCACCACGGAAGTCCTCAGTCATCGTTAAGGGCCATGTATAAAGCGTGCTGCTTTATTCTTTTAATCAGAAAAGCTCTTGACTTGAATACATTTAAGAAAAGGTATGTTTTATATCTAATATCTTGCGACACTCAAAGGGCTCTATTTCGCTGACCATAATGCAGCAAGCAGGTGCCAGCGTGCCCTTATTACAGTTGGACATTTCAGATCTGTTTGTATTCTTTCTTGACCATAACACCACTGTGGAGTAACATGACACAACATCTCCAAATTCTTTTTGCAAAAATTGTGAGATCATGCTCCAGGATTGCTTTTGGATGTGTCTGGTGATCATTCTCAAAATAAAAATGACTTCCTTTACAGTTTACTGAAGAATGGTAACACTTAGGGACCAGCATGAATTTTAGCGTGAATATTACTAGCATATTGGCTGTTTATTAGTGCTTCTAAAGCACATATTAATGCCTTGTTCTGCATGACCATATTTGTGACCCTGGACCACAAAACCAGTCATAAGGGTCAAATTGAGATTTATACATCATCTGAAAGCTGAATAAATAAGCGTTGATATATGGTTTGTTAGGATATAACTATTTGAATATCTGGAATAGCAATGCATATTACTAATAAAAAATTAAGTTTTGATATATTTACGCTAGGAAATTTACAAAATGTCTTCATGGAACATAGTCTTTACTTCATATCCTAATGATTTTTGGCATAAAAGAAAAATCAGTAATTTTACCCATACAGTGTATTGTTGGCTATTGCTACAAATATACCCGTGCTACTTATGACTGGTTTTAATAGTTAGTTAATAGTGAGAATTGGTCCCCACACTAAAGTATGACCAGAAGGATCAGCAAGAATGAGTAGATGGTGTAAGACAGGGGTGTCAAACTCAGTTCGACAGCCCTGCAGAGTTTAGTTCCAACCCTGCTCCAACACACAAACCATGTATTTTTCAAATAAGCCTGAAGGACGTGATTAGCTGGATCAGGTGTGTTTATTTGGGAAGTCGTGGCCTCTAATGGTCAGAGAGTCAGACTCGTAACCCAACGGTTGCGAGTTCGAGTCTCGGGTCCGGCAGGCATTGTAGGTGGGGGGAGTGAATGTACAGCGCTCTCTCCCACCTTCAATACCACGCCTGAGGTGCCCTTGAGAAAGGCACTGATCACTGCTGTGTGTGTGCACTAAGGATGGGTTAAATGCAGAGCCACATGTCACGTCACGTCACTCACTCACTTTAGGGTTGGAGCTGAACTCTGCAGGGCTGTGGCCCTCCAGGAATTAAGTTTGACACCCCTGGTGTAAGACATTCTGGCAAGTTTTCATTATTCTCTTTCCACATCTGAAATACATATGGTACAACTTTATAATTGTAATTCTGTAACACTTTTTGGTAACACTTCAGTACAGGGACCAATTCTCACTTTTAACTAGTTGCTTATTAGCTTGCCTATTATTAATATATTGGCTGTTTATTAGTACTTCTAAATCATACCCAATACCTAAACCTAACAACTACCTTACTAACTATTAATAAGCAACAAATTAGGAGTTTATTGAGTCAAAAGTCATAGTTAATGGTTTGTTAAAAGCGAGAATTGGACCTTAAAATAAAGTGACCCACTTTTTTTTGTTTTTTTGATAGTCCACTTTAGACATTCTGCTAAGAATAAGTAACTAAATAACTCCATGCCAACTAGCAGTCATTAGAGTATTAGTAGACTGTCTGCTTAATATCTGCTAACACTTTATTTTGAAGGTCCCCAGCAGACATTCTTTGCAAGTGATTGACAGTTTATTCTGCTAACCCTATAACCTAAGAGTCTACTAATTCTCTAATGAGAGTTAGCTGACATGAAGTAGCAAAGTTACTAGAGAATGCAGAGCTAATAGAGAAAGTAGACTGTCTAAAGTGGACAATCAAAATATAAGTGTAAACTAAATACCTTATATATTATATATAATACATGACTAATATAAATAAATAAAAAATACCAAAGAATTGATAAACCATCAGAAGTAATTCTGTCAGACAGCGCTTATTAATCAATAATGCTTTGAGTATAGATGAAGTGTTCCATGACCAAGATGTGTAATCGTGGAATATTGCACCCACACAATCTTAAAGGACTACATCCCAGACATTTGTTCCAATATGACTTTAAATATATTCACATATATGATAAATACTGTTTATTCATTTTTTTTTTTTATCCTGTATGTTCCATTTAGAAACAGAGCGTGCTCGGTGGCTCTTCATTTTGCCAGAGTACTCTGACCTGATGTTATCAACAAAATCAGATTAACATACTGCAACCCTAAATAAATGAATCGCAAAGAAACACATTCATGGGATATCAATGAAGAAGCGATCTGACAATGTTGAAATTTGCTGCTACCACATTAACCCAGTTTTAATGGGATTTCAGACAGATAATGGCACAAATTAATGTTTCCTTTCAAGTGAATGTACTAACTATGACAAATTGATTCCCCGTTCTCTCGTGAGCTTTTTCTTTTTTGGCTCTATTTTAATTTTAGATGAAGCAATAAGAGATTAATGGTAGCTATCTCATCTTTTCACATCTAATGAAATTACAGAAGAGGATATGATTAGTTGAACAATGGCATAAGAACCCACTTTATGCAAGCAATCTCGTGTTAAAAGGAGCTGAAAATTGACACAGGCTGAAGAGGAGGGAATTTGGCAGTATATGCCCACGCCTGTGTCTATGGATTATGGATTTTCACCCAGGGATTTTAATGGAGCTATGCACAAAAGTCATCTGCGGCCAACCAGTGCTACTCCAAACCTTGGAACGTGAACTTTGTTATTGTTTAATGGTCATTCATGGCTGAAGGATGGGGATCGCAAGCCAGTAACGCGGGGCTGCTGTTTGTTTGGGACTAACAAAATGCACCACTGGGTCTTTTAGATGGGGCCTAAAAACAAACATGCCTCTCTAGTTCTCTGACGGCGCCACTAAACAGAAACAATGCCTGGTCAAGGCTTGCTGCTTCTCCTTGCGCTGAATCTCCAGAAGGAATAAAACCACCGGTTTGGTACATTGTTCACAATGATCAGCCTTCTTATCACACAGAAGCCTAAATCTAGCTTTTTGTTCATTATCTAATTAGGTAATCCATAAGGCGCTGAAACATGCTCTTTGTTATTAATGTCGTATGAAAGCCATAGGCAGACGTGGGGCTGCAGCATTCCATGGCAACGTTATACGTATGGCTACTTGGAATATTGATTTGGGTTTAAACTTTTCCTTTTTATGTGAGAAGAAAGAAACCATAGAAGGATACATGGGAGCTCAACAGTCAGTTATACAGTTTAGCAGCTTTTTATAAAAATATTTGACCACAAAATGCAGCGATTGACAAATCGATAGATAGATAGATAGATAGATAGATAGATAGATAGATAGATAGATAGATAGATAGATAGATAGATAAAATTTCTCTGAACCTCTAACATCAACTAAATTATGAAATGACTTAAACAATAATAATAAAAAACTAAACTAATAAATCAATAGTAGTTTCATATTTGGTATAATCTTGCACACAAGCTTTAAAACAAATAAATTGTGAATCTAATCTTAGTTAAGAGGCTGTAGGTTAATCTAAGATGATATAAAAAAAAAAAAAATGCAATTTCCAAATTAGAGAGGAAACTTGAGGCTCTTCTTCAAAGAAGATCAGTAACCTCTCTTTTAGACCCAAGAGGCTTTCAAGCAATGTTAAGAATTGAAATGCAGAGCTAGAGAGATAAGGTCAATAAGGTTATGAAGATAAGGTCAAAACTAAACTACAGAGGCAGGCTATTTGAAAGAAAAGAACTGCTCTGTAATGCCGTCTGCTAGCAGTCATCGGTCTCATTAATCGGGAATCAGGTTCTGTGGCTCAGCATTTTTAGCTGTTCTCCTCCCTACAGATCTCGTTTTAGATATTCTTACAAAAAGACTTGGAACGAGTATGACTTTGGTATATTATTACTGAGAGATCAAATACAGATTCTTGCTCGAATGCAGTGACGCAATGAGCTTGCAACAACCGTACTGTAGATGTCTAGCTAATGTCAATAGTAACCAATTCTCACTATTAGCTAGTTGCTTTAGCATGCCTATTAATAGCATATTGGCTGTTTATTAATACTTATAAAGCACATATTCTGCATCACCATATTCTACATCCCTAATCATACCCAATACCTAAACCTAACAACTACCTTACTAACTATTAATAAGCAGCAAAATCAGAGTTTATTGAGGCAAAGGTCGTAGTTAATGGTTTGTTAATAGCGATAACTGGACCTTAAAATAAAGTGTGACCTAACAATTCATTGTGAAACTGCGGTTTCTACGTCCTGTGCATTGAGTTGGAGCTGGCGTGAGGAGTCGTGCATCTTTAGCAGGATTTTCCCCACTAGTCTCTACAACTGTCAAAACACTGGGCCGTTATGTTTGGAGGAAATAGAGGAGCCCTCATTGATGCATTTCAAATTCAATTTAGCGATAGAAGATTGACTGAGGGTTTCTCCCCCCTCTTCTTTTAAAAAGGGTTTCTTTTTTCCATAGCTCGTTTCTTTTGAATAACGTGGCACCGCATTTATCCCTGTCCTTCACATATCCTCGGCTCTGCAGTCTGCTGCTGCCTTTGACGTTGCTTATGTGTCCTTAGGAATAAAAAGAAGGTGGGGGTGGGGTTGGGGGGATAGAAAATAAAATGAGCTATTGTTTTCCTTTGATTCCGGGCAATAGTTCAGATATGGCAAGGGCACCGAGCCAAGTCCTCTGCAACAGACACCGCTAGCAGTAGCGCAATACAAAACCCACAGCAAAATACACATTTGTAGGCGTCTTTCACCAGGTTTTGGCTGCACGAGACTCTCTCTCTCTCTCTCTTTTTTGCAGGGTTCAGGGGTGTTGCGAGGGGTTGAGAACGAAGGTGGGGGAACGGAGGTGCTGCCGCGGACAGCCAATCTCCTCATTCAAGCCTGCCTCCACACAGCTCATATTGTCAGTTTGCCCGTTTAAAGGAACCTTGAGCAGCATCAAAGATCTTTTCAAAGCCTTAATCCTAATAGGTCGTGGTTTGTTCTGTCACATCAAAGACGAGAGCGAGGGAGGTACAGAGGGGAAGAATGCGTCGGGGGGAGCTGGCAAAGATTCTTATGGGGAAGATTGGCAGAGGATTTGCGGCACGGCGAGCACTAAAATCTGAAATATCGGTCATGGAAAGCCTGCTGTAATAGATATGAAATGGGCCTTCTCAACACCATGAAAGGCTGACATTTGCTGAAAGATTGTCACGAGAAGCCCTTTTATTCCCTGCCATCTGTCAAGCGTTTGTACTGCCACCTTGTCCGCACTGGAAATTCGCAAGTGTCGCTCTCGGCGGTGTGTACCGGATTGGTCATTTCCAACGGTTCTTTTTTTTTTCCCCCACGTCAACCGCTGAATCTTCAGCTAGAGAACTTTGCGGTCCAAAACCGAGGACATAAATGTATTATCTCGTACGTGCGCACGCACATGTGTATTTACTTCTCACCTCTCGACACTTTAATCTGTAGTTCAGTGTCTCGTGCATTGAAACCGATACGATTGTCTGACATAAAGCCACTTCCTGTGAACCAACATGACACAAGTGCTTCGTTAATTAGCCGTCCATGGGAAAGCAGCTATCGATTTTCTGTCGGCGCATCAGAAAAGAGGCCCTTTGTCTTCATGGCCGTCCGCCGATAGCGGTGATAAACCGTGCCTTTCACCGACAAGAAGATACTAATAAAACAAACCTAAAAAAAGGAGGTCGATCGCAGAGCTCAGTCGGAGGCAAGGAGGAAAGGAAAGATAATGATGATGCTGAGCTCTCTAGCATTTTCAGTCAACATAAAGAAATAATTCACTGAAGTGACTGGGTTTTTACCGAGAGAAGCTAAGCCGGTTCAAAAAGCTGGCGTTGCAGAGGACTGCCTGGGTGTGTGTGTGTGTTTGTGTGATGATGGCTTGTGTGAAATCCCACTGGTGCTTGTTATTTCACACCCCTGTGGCTACAAGTTTGAAAACAATCCCTTAAAATCTAGCAGTAAAACTTACTGGGCTAACAAGGTTAATCTGAGTCTGAAAAGACTGTTGTTCTTAGCCATCTAAATAGGTCCCTAAAGAGCCACTTAAATCTTTAGGTTTTTGGTGACTTGGACCAAGAAAATATGAGAGGCCATATTGGATAACGATGTTGCACAATGAAACAAAGTAATCTAATGAAAGCGATAAATGGCGCAAATTAGTGATCATTTTTGCATTCGCATAATCTTCCAATTAAGGTTTACATTCCTTGACGCTTTATTTTGAAAATAAGTTTTACACGCTTCACATCATTTGGAATATTCTTTTCTGATGAGCATATTCTGATTAAACAAAGAAGTGTATTTTTTTCCCCCTCTGCAATTTTCTCTGAAATAGTAGACAAGTTCACTTTTGGCATTTGTTAATTCTTTTAATAATAAAGCAGAGTGCTGTAATCAACTCAGTAATTCTCATTCATGCCCTTGACAATGATGAAAATGGAGGTCGTGCGACTCTTACAGTGCTCTCAGTCATCTTTGTGTTCATTTCTTTAAATCTTTGTGGGAAAAAAAGTCAAAATCAAAAACTTCGCACCTTCACATGGACATGTTTAATATTTTGTTACGGTGGACATTCTGAAACCCAAACTTCCAATTCCCAAATTCTTTCAAGGTTACGAGGTTCCAAAAACCATTTCTGGATCCCCAACGATCCTTTCATCGAACACCATCTTTTTTCTTACTGTGAGGAACATTTGAATAATATTAAGAACCTTTTGTGTAGTGGAAAAATTCCATGGACTTTAAAGGTTCTTCATGGAACCACTGGTGCTAATAAAGAACCTTTATTTTTAAGAGTGGAGGAGGAAATAACATTTATTTAGCATTCTTACAAATATATGCTGCTCATGGATTGTAAATACTGATGGTGGACGTGCTGGAAATAACTGCTCTGTTCTCAGCTGCTGAAGCCATCGTCATCTCATTCGCGCATGGGTCAGATGGACACAGTGAGCATTAGTATTCAAACTGCCAAAGCACCAATCAGTGCTGGAGGAACGGTATGGAGGATATGGGGGTTGAAGAGGTGGTGGGAAGTGATTGTGTTACAAATTCAAGATGGCACCAGAGCAATGATGATGAAACAGGAATCACTCTGACGCCTTCAAGGCTAGATTTCATGGCAAATCAGAACTACTGATTTCTGGTTTATGTCTCTCTTATGTATATGTTTATTAATTAACAGCATGCATTCAGATATTATTAGGATGTGTTTGGCATATTGACAAATTCACTGAAGTTGTTTTTGTGCCCCCGTGTTATGTTGGGATTTCTTTTTATTTTTTATTTGAGTTACATTTTTTATGTAATAAATTTATATATTTTTAATTTTTTTAAAATATGTCCCTATAGTTTTTTTCATTCATTTGTATTGTAGCTTTAGTTATTTTAGTACATCAATTAAATGAAAATGATGAATGTTGATGAAAATTATATTATATTATATGATACTATATTGTTACATTATATTATATTATACAAAATTGTGTGTGTGTGTATGTGTGTGTGTTGGTTTAAAATTATTTAATTTAAAATAGTAAATGTATTATTATTGTTGTTGGTGGTGGTACAGTTTTAATTTAAAATGTAATAACGCTGGTGTGCCTTCAGTGAACTGGGATCAAATCAGCGAGTTTCCAGCACAGTCACATGTTGAGTTGTTAAAAACACACAATAGAGAAAATGAAAACATGAGAACAGTCTCTCTTTTGACTGATAACTGCCACATGTTGAAGGACACTGAATTTCAAGCAGTCTTGTTGAAAACTACTATCTGTTTGTCAGCTGAATACTACTATTTGAAACGCGCTGTTCCTAGTCTGTTATTTTCTGAGATGAATAAATGAAGAGAGAAATTATTTCCCAGTTTAACTGATGTACAGTTCAAACCGTGTCCATCCGCGAGTTTAAACATTAAAAGCCATGGTCACAGGGCAGGTAATGTTACATTTAACCGAACTCAATTATGACCGAGATGTTTGGATTACACATCTACTATCTTCATTCGTAAGTGTCTGATGACAAATGTAATTGGAATCAGATTATAGAGTAAGAAAACCTGAAGCTCTCTTTGCTGTGTAGTCTTTATTACACATTCAACACAGAGACCCCGCCATGCATTCAGCCTAAAACACCTTCCCTCCCTTACAAGAATTCCCTTCTCTAATGCTTATTAATTTCACAGTAGATTATCTGCTCAGATACATCTTGTGTTTTGGGAGAGTTTTTTTTGTTTGTTTTTTTTTTATTAACCGTGTGCATGGTTTTATAAGTGGACACAGTGAATTTTTAATCAAAGTCCTAATTAATGCATTTAAATATTTTATTTGAATTGTAGTTTTAGTTTACAATATATGTTTTAGCCTTCCTATATGTTGAACTAATGCTAATAAACAGAAGCGCATCCTTTAAAATTTGACAACACATGTAGATAGCACAAATATTTACCTTTATTGATGTATTAGTATATAGTTTACATTTCAAGATGTTCAACGTGTTAGGACTGTATGAAACTGAAACACAACTTAAATGTCTTTGTAAGTGCACCTTATTGCAGCTGTTCTTAGAAAAGAAACGTACTTTAAAGCGCCCCCTGTAGGACAAATGGACGCCTGACAAAATAGGAAGGAAAGATTATCGTGAAAAGTTTATACAGCCTCAATAGTGGGAAAGTCGTGGCCTAATGGTTAGAGAGTCGGACTCGTAACCCAAAGGTTGCGGGTTCGAGTCTCGTACCGGCAGGGATTGTAGGTGGGGGGAGTGAATGTACAGCGCTCTCTCCCACCTTCAATACCACCACTGAGGTGCCCTTGAGCAAGGCACCGAACCCCCAACTGCTCCCTGGGCGCCGCAGCAAAAAATGGCTGCCCACTGCTACGGGTGTGTGTTCACTGCTGTGTGTGTGCACTTTGGATGGGATAAATGCAGAGCACTAATTCCGAGTATGGGTCACCATACTTGGCCACATGTCACGTCACTTCACTACATTCATATTATATGCAATTGTTTTCCCTGAGATTTTTTTTCTATTGCACATTATTTTATTATTACTACTACTACTAGTACTACTAAAGGTGTTTCCATATGCTTTGACTGGCTTTATCTTAATAACTGACCTGAAGAACTCCAGAGAATGTTTTATAGTAATGAATAATGCATCTAGTTTTCCTGGAGTTGAAATAAGAGCGTGCTCGCTGCAGTTACGGGTTATTCCACAGATAAAGGTGTAGGACTAAAGGCAATCAGCATCACCGACACGCATTTACTTTAGGCTATTTCTTCACGCAAGAATCCAGTTTCACGGGTGCTATTCATGGATGTGCTATTGTGTGTGAAGATGCATTTACGGTGTTATTTTACAAGCAGAACATATTTAGGAATAATATGGGCCTCTCTCTCCTTTAATCTTAATCGGATACGTTTACTTTTAATGACACTTTGAATCACATCAAGGAGAAAACATAACCACACAAAGAGAAAAGTCAAGTATTTGCAAGCTCTTCATGTGAATTTAGTAGAGACAATTGCTTTCAAGCCTTCCATTAATGTGTTTTGTAAAGCTGAAGCGGAGGGTTTTTTCATGGAGTCATCTCGCCACCCTGTGGCCTCATTTTTCAGACATCCTGCAAGTCATCTTAAACATTTCAGTGTGTGCACTTACTGTATGTGTTACGCATGTTACGAAGAAATTTACAGATACTACTTTTAATGCATTCTGCGATTTTGCCATTTTTCTTCTTCCTTTCTTTCTTTTATTGTTGCTGTTATTATTATTATTATTATTATTATTAAAAGCGTCTGCTAAATGCATACATATAAATGTAAAATACATAAATAGCCTCACGTATTTTGGCAACAGGTGTAAAACAGGTTAAACAGAAATCTGTGACTGAGCATGAAAACTCAACAGCAGGCAGCAATTGTTAATCTGCAGTTCTAAAAAAACGTATTTATTTATTTAAGTATTTCTTTTTTTTTCTCTTGTTTTTTTTTCAGTCAGGTTGCTCAAAGACGCCATCTGCTGTCTGTTTGTTTTTTTTCAATGCAGATTATCGGACATCTAACAATTCATTTCCCCCACTTAAACTTTTAGTTTTAAATGAAGTACCAAACAAGACATTACAGAACACATACAACCTCAATGAAATATGTTTAGAAATGTATAATATATTTTGTTTCAACTTTCATATACTAAAATATGTTTAAAATGTATTCTGGGGCAATAAAATATATTTCCAATTTTACAGTAGCCTACATTTATGGATCAAATATGGATTAAATAGCCTACAGAGACCAAAACTGTATTTATAAGGATTTAATAATGTTTTGTAATATCGTAATATTGGTTTCAAGTCAATTAATATGACAGGATCTTAACATGGCACAGTGCAACCTTTAGCTGAGTTCCACTGCAGGAGGTGTTTCAGCCGTACTGTGAGGTGTCAGTGTCCAGCTGAAGTGATTGGCAGCTGATATTGTGCAGCAGCAGTAGAGAAAGATCTGCTCTGACCCGACGACCTTCAGCAGTCAACACACACAGGTTTGTTTTTGTGGGGATATTCCTTAGGCGTTATGGTTTTTATACTGTACAAACCATATTTCCTATTGCCCTACACCAACCCTACACCTAAACCTACCCCTTACAGGAAACTTTCTGCATTTTTAGATTTTCAAAAAAACTCATTCTGAATGATTTATAAGCCTTTTGAAATATGGGGACACTCAAATGTCCTCATAAATCACCTTCTGTTGTAATACCTATGTCATACCCATGTCATTATACAAATTTGTGTCCTCATAAATCACAAAAACAACATTCTGTATGATTTATAAGCTTTTGTACCCGTGGGGACCACAATTTAGGTCCCCACCGTGACACGAGTCCCCATGAGTCTGTGTGTATTCAGGTTTAAGTCCCCACCAGAATAGAAAAACAGGTACACACACACACACACACACACACACACACACACACACAGCGCAGGACAGCTTTGTGTGTGTGTGTGACATATGCTCATTACATAACTTGCCATAATTGCTCAGCCATGGCATTCTGTGGTTGAATATATATTACTTTATTTGTTTTATTTTTTTCTGTATAATAACTAATAAATTAAAAAATAGACCATTGTTCTAGTCATGCATTTTGACAATTAAGTGAAATAATTAAATATTGACTGGTAAATTAAAATAACATTTATTTTAATATTCTAACTCTTCTCTTTCGTAACATTCTAATCGAAGCGATACATCTGAATCACACAGTATAATTCTATGAATGTATATATAGGCCTATATTTAAATTTGTTAATAATTACAATATTTTAATCATTTTAATAGCAATAGAGTATAAATTCCATAAGACTAAATGGTCAAATGTTTGAATAATTCAGATCTTTTGATGCTTTTGAAGAAGTCTCTTATGCTCAGCAAGACTGCATTTCAAGCCGTAATATGGTGAAATATTATTACAATATTAAGTAACTAATAAATAATTTAAAATAAAATCATTCTATATGCTGATATGCTGCTCAATAAACATTTCTGGTTGTTATCCATGTTGAAAACAGTTGTGCTTCTTCATATTTTTCATATTTATTAGCAGGATTTGTGACAGATCATGTGACGCTGGTGAAGACTGGAGTAATGATGCAGACAAATTCAGCTTTGCATCACAGGACATTACATTTGAACATATATTAATATAGAAAGAAATGATTTAAATTGTAATAATATTTCACTATTTCAATATTACTGTTTTACTTTATCTTTGATCAAATAAATGCAGTCTTTGTGATTATATAAGAGACTTCTTTTATAAACATTAAAACAAAAATCATAATTATTCCAAACTTTTGACTGGTATAGGTTACGATGGAAAATGAAGACATTTAAAATGTTATTAATGGAACTATTAAATGATAACCCCATGAGTTCTAATAATTATTACATCAATAATAGAAATATTACTGGCACTAAAAAAAAACACTTAAATGAATTACCTCTGGCTATAGAATAACTAAAAACTAGCTGAACTAATACATCCATACATACAGTCTGTTAATCAACCTATAAATGATTTGTTTGTCTTGTACAAAGTTCTATTTTGGTCTTTTTATAGGACGCCGAAAGCGTCATGAGTGAATCATGAGTAAAGCAACTCAGAAGTGTTACTGTGCGTATGCGCAGTAATAGCAGCAGGCAATGTTAAAATCAAACACCAGGTGGCGCGCCAGAATAATCTATCACTACAGGTACACCTGCTACACCTGAAGCCCTGGGTTACGTCATGACGTACGGCGGGATGTAGTCATAGCTAGCTTGTATCATGAAAGAAATTGAAATATACAAAAAACAATGGCATAGCACATAATATTAGGTAATATTAATACCTATAGCTACATTTTCTGAAACTAGGCAAATATAGGAAATGTTTAAATGGTTGATTTTTTTTAATTCAAAGTGTAAAATGTCAATTTTTAAAAATAATAATGCTAATGCTAATACTACTACTACTACTACTACTAATAATAATTGGTGTATCTGTCGGTGTGCTTCCGTATTTACACACCCACATCGGTGTACATGTTGCCATATTTCCAAACACCCTATATGTGTTTGTGTACCTATAAAATATATTGTCAATGCATCTCAGTGTACTCTTTATCCTAATGATGTATTCTAATGCATTACTGTACATCATGACCTACTGAATGCATACAAGATGTGTTAATTTTTTCGTCTATTTTATTATTATTATTATTATTTTGTCAAGGCATGGCCATCTGATTGCACGAAGCCTGAAAATAATTTAATAAAATTAATTGAATAAACAAAGTAATTGTTCCTTTTGTATTTTGTGTGAGAGCTTTTAGGTTAGTCAGTATCATCAGCTTAATTAGGCGAGAGCAAAATATGACAGCGGTCTAAATCTGGCACGCTGGCCTCACGGGGGGGCTTTTTTCAGCGGATCTGGCGCCCTGCGCTCCGTCGCTCAGTCAGTCAGGCAGCTGCTGTTCTTCACACATACCCACAAGAGACACACAGGTCTGAATGGTGAAAGGAAGGTAAAAGCGGCTACAGAATCGCCTTTTACAGCGGAATGTTCACTCGAAGGGGTTATGGAGACGTCAAGAAATCTACACAGAAAGTTCTGGACCCAAAGAAGGATGTTTTCACGCGTCTGAAGCATCTGCGCGCGCTGTTAGGTGAGTGGGACTCTGACAGGACTGAAACATTCACAGACATATTCCCTACAGCGCGAGTCTATGCTTATAAAATCAGTTGTTTCGGGGGTTTGAATGCCACGGAGATGTTCAAATGGCCGAAACAGGGCTGTAATGTGCGTTTTGCTCCATTTGTGATCGATAATGTATGGATTGAATGATTAGCGTTAGCTAGCTTATCGTGCTACATCAACAGCAGACCTGACAGCCTGTTATGTGTCAATATATGTGCAAAATATATAAACAGAAGACATGACAGACTGATATGTGTGATTAAATATACCAAATATATACATAAGACATGATACACCTATATGTCTGTGAATATATAAGCAGCAGACCTGACAGCTTGTTATGTGTAAATGTATTTATATATACCATTGACAAATTACATGTCTGTTGTTTATTTTTTCGGTGTTAACTCGCACACATCAGACATGGCACCCATATATATATATATATATATATATATATATATATATTAATAAACTACAGACGTGACACATAAACAATAGGAATGATACACTGTTACGTCTGTGAATATAAATGCAGAATTCATAAACAACAGAGGTGACACACTGACTGTGAATATATACCAAATATATAAACAATGGACATA